TGACTCCCTGTAGTCCTCTTCTCTGGTCCTCTTCGTGGAGGATCCGAAGCCTGAAGTGGAGGGCGCTGCGTCCTCGTGGTCGTCCTCACCGTTCCTCTGCCTCTTCATACTACCTGCTCCGTGCGCTTCCCTACCCTGCTCCTCATCTTCGTCATCTTCCTCGAACATGGACTCATACCCGGAATCTAAGCTCACCGAGTCCAGCCCCAAGTCTCCCACCTGGCCCTCGTCCCAGTCACCTCTGGGCCGAGGCCACTCACCTGCAGTGAAGACCTCATCTTCAGGCACATCAACCTCAAACTCACCTTCCTCTCCCTCGTAGATCGAGAGCTTCCAGAAGATCCCGTCTAGTGCAGGAAGTTCCATGTTGTAGTTCACACCAGCTGAGAGGGAAAAATTTAAACTGTAAGGATTTCTCATAACATGAGATATTTCTGGATTACATTGAGTAATAATCAAAGATTAAATTAGAAAAAACAACAGCATATCCATAAACTAAGAGTCACCAACACACAAGAGGCTGTGCCTTTTAATATTTTAACAATAATATCAATAGTGCAGCTCTGCCTCTGTTAGTTTGAACAAATGAGGGAATGAGAATCAATTATTGCTGCCTTCATGGGACACTTAATGATTAACATTGTTGTTATTATTATTATTTCTTAATGTTGGGGGATTTTATTTTACAAAGAAGGATATTTTGATGATGTATATCGCGTTGATTTCCAATATTGCAAACCGAAATATCATTACCATACCACTGGGTGCGGGCGAGGCTGCTAGCTTGTAGTGTTAGCATGTAGCGTTAGCATGTAGCGTTAGCATGTTAGGAACAGTAAACGTAGACATAGTATGAACGGTTCACCTTTAAACTCAAAAAGTTTCACTGATGTCTAAACTGAGAACACTTTTAAGGATTTAAGGGGCTGTATCAAACAGAAAAACGCTAACATAAATGTAAAAGTTGTCTTACCTGCACGGTTATCGTCCAACTCACAGCCCACTCCCCTCAGCAGGTGCTGCTCCTCGAGGGTCTTTTCCAGGCTCTCCTGTTGTCCGCGATAGTAGTGATCCAGTAGTTTAGTTCTCCAAAAGATTCGTATCAAGTAGCTTTTCTCCAGAAGTTGAAAACTCAAAGAGTTGGCTCTCTACGGTTTGGCTTTACAAGAGGTGTTCCGCTCGTGTTCAGGTCCAAGTGTAGAGTGAGCGATCAGAATGTTCTGAGGCCTTATGTAACCTCTGTTGGGTCTGTTTCCATGGCATTTAGGGACTCGCATGTGTGTGAGCGCGTGCGTGTGATTGTGCAAGACAGAGAGA